CCCCCAGTACGCTCCTCTCCTTGAAAAGCAAAAGAAAAACTCCTTCATTGGTACACAATCTTACCCCCCCCACCCGGCACATCCCCACTCCCACCCCAAATATACTCCACTTTGCAACCCTCATTCCGGACTCTTATGATTTTGATCCCTTATTCAACAAGTAATTGAAAAGGCCATACCTTGGGTTAGGGACACCTTACTTAGTCTTTAGACTGATATCATTATTGCTTAGTACTTTGAAGATGTCTTTGACAGTAGATTTTCCCAACAAAATATGCCTAACTAATCTTGACATTAATCAAAATGATATCTGCCACTGATATCCCAGGCAGTTTAAAAAAATCCCTTTTTTTCTTCCTTCAAATCTCTCACTTCAAATGTTAAAGTACTGATTGATTGAGTACAAAAACTGGGAGCAGTATGAGAGATCAAGTAGTTAAACTTGGCATCTCACATGGAATTGCTTCCACAAGCTCCCTGACACAATCACTTGTCTTTTGCCTAAACACAGATGATTCCCCTAAACAGTTTGTTAAAGGTCACCTTAATTGTTCTAAAGTCCTTTGTGTCTCAGCTAGTTTCTTTTGTCTTTGAATTAATTTGTGTTTATCATTCAGTTAATAGTAATTAAACTCTTGGCCTTAAATAATGTCAAAGATAGTCAAACTCTGTTTAAAGTTTCCTCATTTTAGCAAGGATTTTGTTATATGTAACTTAGAACATTTACACACCAAATTTATTTTGTCGTGATACTGTAACTGAGTATATTACAGATTTTTAAAAATTTGTTTAATTTTTTTAAGTTGTTGTTGTTGTTGTTGTTATGTGCCGTCGAGTCCCTTGCGACTCATAGTGACCCTATGTACAACAGCCCTAAACTCCGCTCTGTCCTGTGCCAATCGCACTGTCTCTGACACTCCCATTCCAGTTATCCCAGTCACTGAATCAATCCACCTCATAGAGGGCCTTCCTCTCCTGCGCTGTCCCTCCACCCTCCCAAGTATGATGTCCCTCTCTAAGGACCGGTCTCTCCTCACAACATGTCCAAAGTATGTTAGACGGAGCCTCAGAATCCTTGCCTCCAAGGAGCCACCCGGTTTAACCCTTTCCAGGACAAATCTGTTTGCTTTCCTAGCAGTCCATGGTATTCTCAATACTCTTCTCCAGCACCACAGCTCCAAGGCATCAATTCTCCTTCTATCCTCCTTGGTCATTGTCCAACTCTCTGATGCATAACAAGTGATTGCGAAGACCATGGCCTGTATCAGACGCACCTTAGTCTCCAGAGAGACACCATTGCTCTTCAGTACTTTGGAGAGGTCCCTAACAGCAGACTTTCCCATGGCAATGCGCCTTTTAATTTCCTGGCTGCTGGTGCCAAGACTTGACTACAGAGCCAAGCAAACTAAAGCTGTGTACAATCTCAATCTCTTCACCATCCATCCTGATGCTGCCAGTTGGTTAAAATTCTTGCTATTTGTTTAAAGAGAAATCTCTGGTGGGCTAGTGGATTAAAGAGTTGCACTGCCAAACCAAATGTGTGCAGTTTCTATCCACCAGCTGTTTAGCAGAAGGAAGATGGCAGTCTCCTCTTATACATGTCAATGGTTTTGTTTTCTGAAGAGTGAAAAGGGCACAGGTCAGGGGAGGGAGGATCTTTGTAATCTCATGTTTCTGAGATATCTAAAGCTGAGTGTAGTTGGCTTCACTATTTCAAAGCTCACCTTTTGATGATTTAGGTGCTTCTTTTTGTTCCTGTTCTGGTCCTAAAATGTTTTCTTTTTTTCTATACTAGTAAACGTGAGATCAACACAATTAGATAACCAGACACTTGTTAACAGATCTCTAGAAATAGATATTCTTAAAAACATTCCTAATTCCTGTTTGTGGATTGGTTTATTTATTGTCATTTTTATATTTGCTTGTAAGTAGTTCAGTGAAACACCTGGGTGATGCATGTGATAAGGTGCTTTCCTGTCAACCAGAAAGGATGGAGGTTGACCTAGAGAAAGAGCTGGGAATCTCTTTCCAAATAATCAGCCTTTGAAAATCCCATGAAGAACATTCGGTTCTGACATACAATCCATGAGCTAAATTCTTGAAGTTGACACAGTGGCAGCTGATTATTGACTAATATGTTTGGTGTTAACCGTAAGACCCTTCTTTCCTTTTTCAGAGGACATACCGAGCCATGTACGATTATAGTGCCCAGGATGAAGATGAGGTCTCCTTCAGGGACGGTGACTACATTGTCAACGTGCAGCCCATCGATGAGGGCTGGATGTATGGCACTGTGCAGAGAACTGGGAAAACAGGGATGCTCCCAGCGAATTACATCGAGTTTGTTAATTAATTGTTCCTCTATGCCCTTTAAGCTTTATTCTAATGTATTCTAAACCTAATCTTTTTAAAAGATAAAAGATACTTTTAAGAGAATTTGGTAGTTATTTTACAATGACATGCCCTTCCTTTTACAATTAGACACACAGGTACCAGGAAGAAGGAAGGAGTTCTGGGCTGAAGAATGGCAGCATCTTCAGTAATTCAACATACACAATAATTACATCTGGAGACCTGGTGCTCCTAATTGTGTTAATGGTTTTCTTTGATTGGCTATTTAACTCTTATGGCAAATGTATTTTTGTAGACTTTAATAGAGATGTTGATTATCCCTTAAGTGTAACAAGTATATGAAATGTCTTAGCTGTCACTTTGGAATCGTCAGAAGCCAATTCCTTTAATTCAGTAATACAGCCAATACTTTAAAAAAACCAAACCAAAAAACCAAATGGTTTTGCATTTTAGTTGTTAGGTGATTTCCTAATTAAGTGGAAATTGCCTGATAAAATCAACTGCAAATGTAAGCTGTTGGAGAATGAATTTGTTAAAATAATAGGGACCTAGAAACTTCTATTAACAAAGAAATTCCCTTGTTTATTTCTTATTTATACCAATTCATATTCTTCATTTACATTCTGTGGACTCAATGATATACTTGAGTCCATAGAATGTCAGGACCAAATAACTTCACTAACTTCCGAGCTACTCTGCAAAGGGCAAATCCCAACGCCATGTATACAGTTTCCTTAATAGCCTTCACCCTGTTGCATGTCATGTAGATTCAAGCTTCTGTAACACAGGCAGTTGCACTGCCCGTTCCTGTTATTCAAGCAGAAAAGTGTAGCTGATATCTAAACACCCTTTCCTCTAGTTGCCAGCTCATCAGGAAACAAAAGCAGACCTATTTTGAAAAGTCGCTTGAGATTCTTCTGCTGCATTGCACTCTAGTTTTGAAGGATTTACACCTTAGGAAATAGATGTATATGCTACTAAATAAGTGATTAGGTATTTAGTAGACAGCATTTCATTAACTTAATGCCATTGTTTATTTCAAAGTAACTGGAACTTAAAAGGAGCCAGTAAAAAAAAAAGGATCTGCAATATGCTGGTAAACTCAGCAAACTAAACATCTCAAATGCCACATAGAGTAAGATAATATGATTGCTAATTTTGGAAAGTGACTTTCAGATTTTGGAATGGGAATCTAGCCACAAAATGTGGTTAAATTAAAGACCCTTGCTTTTTATTTTCTCAGTCAAATTTAGGGAATGTGAGATAAGAATGTCATCAGAGATTTTTCAGTGTAGGTCGATTGCTCATTACAATATTGTCAAGTCCTCAGTTTGCAAGTGAAGGGCCTTGCAGGCTCTTGGTGGAGTCACAACCATGAGGGCAGCCTTTGACTGTGTCATCGTTAGGTTTTACCTGGAGCCTGACTCTAGATCATCTTAGAGACTGACATTCATCAGCTCCTGTGGTTTTCAGGATGGACCACTAATGAAGACCTGTAAAAGGATAGCCTTCATTTAGAGTCTGATGTTGTAGTTGTGATAAAACAGAAAAAGCAAAGTTATAAAAATGTAGTAAAATTTATAGGCCTTGAGAATTTCTCTTTTGTGTGATGTATTCAAGGAAATGAATCAAATGTCTGATAAAATATTTCTTCTTCAAATATTTTCTAGACCAATGGGAAAATTTTATTTATTTACACTCTTTGGGACATTAGGATATTCTTTTATAAATTTATGGTTTTATTTTATTAGAGGAAGAGAAAAGTAAGGTTTATTATACTCAAGGTGTATCAGAGATGGTGATGTTGGCTCAGGATGGGCCAAAGTTCAGAGCCATTGTTCACAGGGTTGTTATGAGTCACAGTCAGTTCAACAGCATATAACAATAATACTCAAGCTGTATCTACATGACAGTAACAGTGAAGGGGGAAAAGAAAAACTCAGTCAAATAACTACGCCGAGGAGTTTTTTATAGGTTATTGACTGATTTTCTGTTAAAATGATGACTGGTCATGATTAATTTGATGAAATCCCCTATCTGTTAAGAGGTCTTGTATATAGACCTAAAAGGGTGAACTCAACTTGGCAATATTCCTATAAAACTGCCCATTAAGATTGACAGCAAGAAGACTGCTCAATTTTATTATATTTAAATCAATACTCAGTAGAGTATGTAAATTTTGCCTTTTTTAATTATCAAAAAAGAGTAGTTGATTATATTTCTGACTAAATGCAGGACAAGTACACTTTTTGATAACTAGTAAATTTATCATAGCTCAAAATAAAGTGACTTGAAATGAGGATTATAATCAGGAAAGTTAAAGTAGCAGTCTGACATTTCATATTTCTTCTCATCCATTAATTTAAAAATCTGATTTATTGAATGTAAAATTAAAATATATTTGGGAAATCGTTCTAAATTTTTAAGCTTAACAAAATGTAAAGCAAGATATTTTTGTTTTCAGCCTCTAGGAATTAAAAACTGATCAGAGTTTAATTGGAGGGTAGTTTTGTAAGTGAATTTGAGGTAGAATAAGATATCATATGTAATTGAGCTTATAGCTCAATAGTATTAGCCCATTACTAAAGCTTGTCAGGCTGTTAACCTTCTCAGTTGAAGCAGAGGAAACATATATGTATATTACCAAAGTGCTATTTTTTAACAACATGATTTTTAAAATCTACATTTTTGAACTTTTCCACTTTCTACATGACCCCTCTTCAATTTGACAAGTATTAAAGGTTGACAACTAAAGAAAAGTTAAAAACTAAACAACAAAATTCTGTGGGTTTTAGGGTTTTTGTGGGTGTGGGGGTTTTTTTTTGAAAGTGAGTTAAAAATGACTGTGTGGATGCCTAAGCACAGAGAGCATATTCTTGCTTCTCTACCTTTGGCGTCTTCTCTGGCCTGATCAAAGCACATGGAACAGTTCGATACACTTTTTAAAGGTTCTGAAAACAAAACTGTATGGGAATCTTCTCTCTCTTGAGAAAAGTACAGCAACAGACTATTGCTTTTGTTGTAAGTATTTGTAGTTAATGTTTTTACTGATTCCTGTTCTCTAGGAAAACTTTGTATTTCTGACTTATGGTAAAGTGAACCCCTCTTTGTGTCATCTTGTTTGTGTGTACACATGAGCAGTGTAGTCCAGTTCAAAGTGCGTTTATCAGGTTGTCTGCTTTGCATGAGGCCTCTTTCAGCCTCCAGAGGTCACACTGAAATTTGTAAGCACAATTTAGACAAGCTCATTGTTTGAATACAAATGAGATTAGGCCTGCCCCTATCTTGCCACTAGTTTTACTGAGATACTTGTTAGAAGAGAAAGACAAAGTTTTACCAGTTGTACTGTATCATCTCTTTTCTTGTCCTGTATTGAACAGTACTTTGGGAATTGGAAAGAAGATGTTTCTAAACAAAATAGTGGGAGATTAAGAGATGATGCGCTTTGTTTCCAAGTTCTTCCATTTCCAATGGGAGAATGTTAATGAAAAACGAAAGACTATGTGTATGATTCTTTGCTAACACATCCCTATGTAAAATGAATATAATTTATACCAAAATTATAATGCAGATAGATACAAAAATAGGTGCCTTTTTGATTACCCTTGTTTATCCATTACCTTGGAGAGAAATCCCAGTAAGCTTTTGCCCTTCTATAGTAATATTTTGTTATATATGGTTGGTATTTTTATGAGGGGGGAGTGGAATACTCCTGACAGACATTAAGGGTGTTAGCTGATTGTATTTTGCTTATAAAGATTTAGAACTGTAGAAAATACTGGCTTCTGCCATCTAGTTCTGAAAATTTCTTTATGGATTTGTAGACAGTAGAAATACATAAATGTTAACTTTTGGTTTGGGATTTAAAATAGCTATGGTAAGATAGAGGAATTTTGTTATGAGGCTGAATTTACTACACACAATGGAATTCACTTCATAAATTCATTCTAAGTTCTTTTCTGCTGATAATTAAACATGGTTAGTTTGCAGTAGTTTTGGTTATAAGCCATGAAGGTGAGAGAATAGTTAAATAAGAAGCTGTGTCAGAAAAGTTAAGAATACTAAAATAAAAGGCTCAATGTGAAGTATTCCATGTCCTTTAATGACTTTATCCAGGAGGATGTCACCTCTTGATGATCTAAAAAGCCAAAAGTACTAGCTGAGGTTTCTGTGGCCATCTAGCTGTACTCAGAGTTTGGAATCCATAAGCCCAAAAGAATCCCAAGGGCAGATTTCCTCCCTGAATGCTCACCGCATCGGTATCCTAATGGGAGTTCTGTATGCTGTTTTTGTGTTTGATATGTGGTATCCAACTTGTGTAGTATATACTTTTTTTTTTGGTAATTGGGTTACAGTGAAAAAACATGTACTTTAAGGGAAAGGAGTAACCTGGATCACCGTCCTGTTTGTAATGACCACCAGTGAGGTGTTATGAGTTTATACCTGAGGGTCTTTAATCTGTGCTAGTAGAAATGCAAATAAGAACCATTGTGCAGTTTCACTTACAATCACTTCAAAATATGTAGAAATTTGGTGGGTTTGTTTTTGAGTTTTGTTTCTTTTTTTTTTCAGGACTGCACCAGTACTAAAATTGAGAGCATAGAGTTTTAAAGGAAACACTTAAAGCTTGTTTAAATGAAGATATACTGTTATCAATATAATTTGGCTTTTGTTATGCAAATTGTCAACACCAGCTATTACAATATATATTTTAGTAGAAATGCTTTAATTCATGTTCTTTTCCTCTTCACTGTGAATCTTTAAGCCTTGGTGGACTAGAGCAACATCGTGCTGCCCAAAGGACTAACCTATGCAAACTAGTTCATATTTTAGTGGATGTCCCAGTAAATGTGTAATAAGACATTATTTCCCCCTGCCTAATGTACAGCAGCACTGAAATAACACAGCAAGCCTAGCATTATGTATGTACAGTATAGTATAGTCATTCACAAACATTCAAGGCTAACCATAATCATTAGTATTAATATTTTCATTTGGAAG